AATTACTTGATACACAAATTTTGAATACTTCATATATACTGATACACAAATTTTGAACACTTTATATATACACAATATTCAAATTTCAATTACATTGCATATGAAAATACGGTAAGCAAATTTTAGTCTAATTTAAGCAAATTTGAACAGTTACATAAAAGTCAAATAAATCTATGAAAGTTTTAAATTGATGTTCAAATTGTAAGTCTGTGGCGAAGTACTTGCGGGAAGTTTAATAATAATGTTATTACTGATGTCAGAGAGACTTTTTTTATTCTTGTGATATGAATTGAAAAGTGGAGAATTAGGGTTGACGGGTGGTTTAAAAGGGGCCATTACTGATGCATTTTTATTACGGGATTTTGGCTTAAAGATTCGTGATTTCAAAGAATTCGCTATTAAAATATGTAAAAACTTTAATTAAAAAAAAATTTCTTTTAAATTGTCTTAACTGGGCAAATACATAATTAATAATGCATACCTTCTTGATGATTTTTAACTATTTTTGCGTCCTCTTCAGCTGGGTTCGCTTCAATTACTTTTGGGACCTCCGTTACTTCTGGAATTACGGTTAAAACTTTCAAATATTAAAAAAAAAAATTCAATTAGAATAAGATCATCTAAGCAAAGAAAATTTATAATGTACCTTCCTGATACTTTTCAATAATGATTGGGCCTTTCAAAATATGAATTTAGAAAAAAAAAAATCCAATCAAAATCAAATTTTTAAATTGCGCAGTAATAGTATATACTTTCTTGATAATCCTCAATTTCAGTTAAACCTTTAAGTATAAATGTATAAAAAAAAAAAAACTAATTAAAATAAAGTTTTTGAACAAGTAAACGAATAATTTAAATGTATATACCTTCCTGATGTTCCTCGATTACAGTTGAGCCTTGTCAAAATATATATAACGAAAAAAAAAATTTTAGTAAGAATAAAATTTTTTAAATTGTTTTAACTAGCAGAAATAGAATTAACATATACCTTCATAATTATCATACTCATCTAAATTTGATTCATGTAATGAAAAAGGAATCAGCATTGCAGTATTATTAATTCGCTGATCTTCACCAAGCTGACAGTAATCAGCTAAGCTTTCGCGAGAACGATGGCCAGAAAAAGCCTGAAGGTCAGATTCAGAAAGCCCATTATTTCTTAGAAGTTAAATTGCTGTACGGCGACAAGAATGATTTGTAATATGCCGTCCTTTGCTAAGATTAATCTCAGTGTTTTCAACAATATCGTGCATCATTTTTTTTGAGTTTCAAATTCCCCATAGGCCTGGTTTTGTACCAGTTACCTTTCTGTTGATCTTTCTTGCTTTTACAAGTTTCATGAAATAACGGATCTTGTAATACATCTAAATCGGGCAACTTGGATAAATACAATATAATATCTTTTACGGGTGTGTAACAGTTGTTTAATGAATCTGGAGGAATAGGAATATGTCATGAACCCATTTTACCATGTTTATTTCTGTAAAATGCACCACCCTGATTATTTTTTTCTTTATGCAACAGGAGCTCCAAACCACCATCTCGGCGCCATTTAAGATCGTTTCGGCAAATTCAATATGCATCTCCACCCCAGAGACCACACAACAGACATAACCAAAAAAATACCCGACGAATAAGAGATTCATTATTATCAGTATTCATGTACAGGTGATTAAGTATTTGTTTGATTTCTCCAACTGATAATCTATCCGATTTTTTTGGATCACCCAACCTCTTGGCTTGTAAAATTTTCATTTTACCGTCGAGAGTACGTAGTGCACGTGGAAATTTATATTGATCCCAGATTTTGATTTGCTGAAGGACACTGTGCTCTTTAAGATAACGATTAATTGCACTGTAACAATTATGAACTGACTCAACTTTGTAATCAATGCCATCTTCTTTTTGAAGCCAAGTGATAAATTTACAAAGGTAATCTTTTAACTCTTCAACAAAATTGATTAGTTCAATAGACTGGGTGATACCACAACTTTTATTAAATCTATCTACAACTCGAAGCCACTGAGAGGTATTTTGTTCAGTACTTGAAACGAGAGATGCTTGCTGCAATCGATCAATTTCTTCTTGTGTCAGTAATTATGAAGCTTTTATGAAACTCTTTTTTTTTTAAAAAAATAAAAATAAAAATAAAAAATAAGAAGAAGAATAATAATAGGGAAAGAGAAAAAAAAGTAAGCGAAAGAGAATTGTATCATGATTAGAAAATAATTAATTATATATATGAAAAACTAAGGTGCTTACGTCATACATACCCAATAATCGTGTTATCAGTTAAATTTGCGTCTAATAAAAATTACATAGTAGGAGCTATATATTTCACGTGGCTCCGCCACGTGAAATACATAGTAACCTAGTATGTAATAGGTTATCATCCACAATATAACCAATAACAAGTACTTAAAGTCTACCAATGATTAGTAATCATAAAAAATACTAATTGACCTCATGTTGAACCAACTTCATGTTGGTCTCTCACAATTAATATTTTGTATTTATACAAAAAAGATTTAAAAGCTATTTACTGAGTTATTATATTTACCAATTAAATCAATTTAAGGCACTAAATCTTTAAAATATTATTTTTGTCTAAATAATAAATTAATTATCAGGCAAATTATAATTTGCTAAATAAATTTAGAGACTTGTTATTGCCACCCCCTATTTTTGTTAATGCCACCTCCAAATATCAAAAAGTGTTCTAGAAGAGGTATTTCTATTAAGTAAATCCTTATTTTGATTTGAATAAAATTGTTCATCAGGTCTTTTCAGTTCTAATAGTAGTAAAATCATTAAATTTGGATTAGCAGTTTCTAAGATATATATATCTGAAGTTAGTTAACTTTTGTTTACTTTTGAAAAAAACTACTAGCCCGATTTTAATGATTTTACTACTATTAGAACCAGAAAGGCCTGATGAACAACTTTTATTAAGATCAAAATAAAAGATTTACTTAATAGAAATACCTTTTTCAGAGCACTTTTTGATATTTGGGGGTGGCATTAACAAAAATTGGGGTGGCAATAACAAGTTTCTAAATTTATTGTTAGTTAATTAATACTGCTTAATTGCCATAAGACATATTCTAATAAGTGCTATTACTTATAAATTAAATGAGTTAACTCACATTAATTTTATATATAAATTTAATTTTTGTAAAAGCATATATATAAGCCTTTTTATTTATTTGTCTCAAATAGTTTGAAGTTAATCTTTTTTTAAGGTTAGAAAATTCTTTGTTATATTCTTTAAATCAAATAACTAAAACACTCTATATAATAATATAATTGGTTAAAATAATTTTTTAAAATTAATGATGATTTTACTAAGTAAAGTTTTTTTTTAGTTTTAAATAAAGTTGTAGAGAAGGTTTTTCTAATTCTAATAGTAAATAAATTAGTATTTAAAATTTTGATCAAAATTTATATACACAAATAGTATTAATATTAGAGTTTAGAGCACAGGAGCATAAGGCATACCCTAAAGACATGCCTTTGTCATATGATATTTAAAGTTATTTTGATTGGATAATAGGTTTAAATAAGACCAAAAACATATATACTAAACAATATATAAGTTTTTTAGAAAGTTGCAAACTATATGTTAATTATATAATTTAAAAAAAAATATTTCTATAGGTATAAAAAGCATTTTTAAGCTTAAGACATACTTGTATGAGTGTTTTAATTTTTTTCCCTATTTAATTATTGTTTTTATATTTATAATTAGTCTATTATCATATAAGTATAAAAGAGCATGCTTATAGGGCATGCTCTCAACCCAGGGCATACTCTTAAGAGTATGCCTAATTTTTAAAGTATGAATTAAACCCTAGTTAATATATGACCAGATTATAACAAGTAATATTATTAAGTTCAATTAGTGAGATTATATAACCTTAGTTATATGATTTTTCTAATTAAATTTAGTAATATAATCTGTTATAACCTGGTTATATGTTAACACTATATACAACTACCCTAGCATACTCAGTAAAAAAATATAGACACGTGATTGATTGACAAAAATTAACTAATAAAATTCAAGTATTATTACTATAATACAAAAATATCTTGCTTACTATAAATACAAATAAAAAGATTATAATTAAAATCTTAACTATATAGGCTGTGATCTGAGAAAAGGGCCGAAATTGACAAAAAAAAAGATCTTCAGAAAATCAATTTTTATATTGTAAATCTTATAATAAATTATAAGAAAAAGCAAACTTTAAAGAGCTATACTGCAAAATTTTATTAATACAACTGCTTTTGTGTCTTAAGTAAAAAATGATTCTAATCTTATTCTAAATTAATTTATATAAAAAAATATCTTTTGAAAAATTTGTCAATTTCGGCCCTTTTCTCAGATCACAGCCCATATAATTAGCTATTATGTTTTTATTGTAAAGTTTTTGAACTACAATTACAGGCCAATACTGTATATCTTTAAAGTTTGTCTAACAAGACTTTTTTTATCTGTTTATATTTTTTAGTTAACCCAATATTAATAAAACTATTTTATATTTACTGTATATATATGATAATTTTTTTCTAATTAGAAGTCTAATCATTTTGTATATTTGTTTAATAAATATACTATATGCTCAATATATTTATTATACTAATATCTAAAAAAAAAATATTTAAGATGTAGTTTGTCTCTAAAAAAATAAAAAAATTACAAATCTTATAATAAACAAAAATAAAAATTTATATATTTTTTTATAGTACAGAAATCTAGCTTGCTTACATATTAAAATTTTTTTTTATTAAGTAAACTTTCTTTTAACTTCTAATTAAAGTTGTAAAACTGATTTTTCTAATTATAATAGAAGTAAAATCATTAAAATTGATTAGATATATTACAAAAAATAAGTATGTTTAATTTTTATTATAGAGTTTTTTTTAAAAAACAGAATTACATAGGATTTTATTTTTATACAAGACAATTAGTAAATCTTTGTCAATTTTTACTAATTATTTAACTATAGACTACCCCTTAAATATAAAAAAAACTACATATTCATTTTGGTTATTAAATTGAACTAAAACAAAACTAATTCAAATATAGTTAAATTCTTAAAAGACTTTTATTTATATATAACAATATAACTAGTGATTTACTAGCTTTCATATTACTATTAAATTACATTGTCTAAGAGATATCAAACTTTTTAATTATATAATATTTAATAGTAATAGTAAGTAGTAAAATTAAAAAAATATACTTTATTTAACAATTAATACTACTATTACTATATCAGAAAAAATATTTTTTTAAAAGTCAAAGAAATATATATATTGAATATAATATTGCATACCTTAACTAATTTAAAAAATAGGTATTGTATATATGTTCTTTTCAAGTCTTCAGCATAGTTATTCTTCTATAATAAGCTTCAATTTGTTCTACTATTATATTAACTAATTAAAATGTTTTTCTATGCTTTTATTCCACTTTATATTTTTTGTATCTTTGTATTCACATAATAGATTAAGTGCTTTTTTGTTGTATTGATTAATTAATCAAAAAAAATATCTGAATTTTCTTCAACCTTATTATTATTTATATTATTATTATTTATTAAAAACTTGCTATATATACTAAATTAATATCTTGAGTGTTAGTTGTTTAAATTAAAAATATATGCCAATTATTTTGATCAATTTAGTAATCTTTAATTTGATTACTATTATCTATATTAATTATCAAATAACTTGTTATCATTATATGCATATCTTGCAAAAATAGATATTAATTACTTTGTTTAACTTGATCAAAAAATTGTAAAGATATAGTTTTTTTTTTTTAAACAAGATATTTGCAAATAAAAAAACTAGTTTGTAAGATTATATGGACAACTGCAAATTCACCTTTCAATATTAGTAATATATAGTTTATCACTTTTATTTTTAATAACCTTTTTGTTAATTGTTTCTATTCTAACTTCATTGCTTTTTGCTAATCTGCTTTTACTCTTCTAAGTATAACTTGATCAAATTTATGTCTTTAATATAAAATTACTTATTTTATAAAAATATAAATAACAAGATCAAGTCTTGAATAGAAAAATTTGTAAAGAAAATTCTGTTTAATTGTTTTCCAGTGTGATTTAATAAATATTGTTGTTTTTAGTATAGTCAGACCTTTATATAATCACCAAGTTGGTCACACCCTAAAGTAGAGACATTTTAGGAGTACTGGCACACCTATATCAATCTTGCATATAAATTCGCTTTTGCGTCGTCAAATCAATGATTTCTATCTAGAACGCATTTATTTAC